CGGTTGAAAAGTCCTACGGCGAGGGCGACATGCACTCACGTAGGCGGTCCAGGACAATTGGGCCGTCCTCCTACTAAACCAATCTGTAACTCATAGTGGAGTTAGGCAGCCGTCTGGGATAACCAAACAATCTTATTTAGGGACGTCACTGCTTACCCCCGCGAAGGAACGGGGCTGCTACACATGCGGTCGAAACAATCAAAACATAAACAATACTCTCTCTCACTCTCACTCTCTCTCTCTCTCTCCTCCCCTCCGCCTCACCCCGCAGGCTCACTCTCTGCTCACCGGGATGGAGGACGGCGCTAATCGATCGAGAACTGGGGCGCTAAAAGGAGAACATCGCTGCAGTCAGCGAGACCTGGTTCTCCAAACAAGGTCAACTAGAGGAGGTGGGTGCCGGCTACACTTTCTTCTGGGGCGGTCACCCCCACGGCAGAGCGAAGAGACGTGAGCGTTGCCTTTGGCATTCGGAACGACATCGCGGTTCAGGTGAATGATCGGAAGTGAGTCCTACTTCACTTGAAGGTCCCATTATGACTTTGAATACGAAAATCTATACGTCATCAATTAGTCAAGCAGTGGAAAAACCTGACAGATGCTCCACTTGTCAAGGTTCCTCATAAAACTGAAAGAACTCCTAATGGGGCCTGAATGGAATGTAGATCAGCTGGCGAAAACATATCCGAATACATCTAACAAATATAAAACGCACTGGCGTGATCTCGCTGATTGGATAATATCCTTCTGACCAGACAAAGTACTATGAGACATTGTGACGATGTGTCCTACGTTTCATATCATACTGTATATTTGCAGCCTCAGGTGAACGCTCAGTTCAAAGTTACGTATGTAAACCGCCATGAAAGCATGGTCAGAACAATGGTAGGGGGCGCTCACCGATCGTTCCTACGGAACTCACTCGTTCAGTTGTGCCTTACGGGCTCTCTCTCTCGAGCCCAACCAGCAACCGCGCAGCGGCGCATGATATAGGCAGAATGGCATTACCGACAAAGACATGGGACACTGGAACGGGCTCGTGGCCCAGTGGTTAGAGGCGTGGACTTCTAACTAACAGGTTGCGAATTCGAGCCTCGGGTGTCCCACACTTCGGGGTTGGGTATGACTGGCTGACGACGGCTAGCCAGAAATGGCCATTCCAGTGTCGCTTGCCTTTGTCGGTAATGCCATTCTGTCTATGGTCAGGACACTCATCTGCCCACAGTACAGCAGAAGAGAGGAAAGAAAATGTGAAAATATATAAGTTCACTTAGGTGGAAACAAAACTCAGGCGAGAATGCATACGAACCTCATCTCTGCGAGCTGCCCGCTGGTAGCATTCAAGGCAGTGGAGAAGCTTGTCATTCATGTCCGTCAAAGCAGCAACAACCGTCTCCTCCTTTATGGTGATTCCGAAAGAATTTCCATTTAGAATTTCGTCGATCAGGGCGTGGACTTGCTTCTGCATATCCTGTACACGCTCGGCAGCAACCTGCGTGGACAAAATAAACAGAGTTCCTTGACGTTCTTCTTCCTGACCAGCAAGCCTTTATGTTGATGAGTCCAGTACAGTTTAAAGGTCAGCATCTCTGCCTTAGGGAAACTGACGAAGACACAACACTTACCCGGAATTCTCCCACTTGGGTGGAAGACCCTCTCTTATCTTGATGAAGTGTCTCAAACACCTGAAGAGCCTCTTTCGCCTCTGATAGTGTCTGTGCGACATTCTTCATCGCATCTGGTACGTAAGTTCTGCAAGTACTCGTCGCCGGAAGAGCTTCCTCTGCTGTTGTTGGTGCTGTTGTCGCAGACGTCCACCCACGCACCTTCTCAGTCTACGAGCGGAAAAAGGAGGCCTGAGCAGTTTACATTTCTGCAGAGTACATCATATAAATTTCATAATACTCGTAGTACTACTTGTTTGTAGAATGAACATTACAGTAGTTGATTGTCTTCGACTCGGATGTTCATTGAAATTTCGGGTCTGGCCCTTCAAAATTCATGTCCCGGAGATTCAACTCCATGTCTTGCACTGAATAATTTCTGAAATTATTCGCCTAATTATTCTCTGGAGTTCGTCTACCAGGAACCGCATGGCGAACGCTGGGGGACCCACTGAGGAGTGTAGGAGCACACTTTCCTGTTTGGCCACAATATACGGCATCACAGGCATCGCATGGGATCTTATAAACGACTTCCTTTTTATCGAGATAGCCAACTCTATCCTTAGGGTGTACAACCTCAGTACTTAAAGTAGTCGTCGGCTTGTGCGCCACTTTTATCTGGTACTTCCTCAAATGTCTTTCAACAAGTTCAAACACATTCTTTATGTAGGGAAGGATTCGCCAAGTGCTTGCTTTGGGCGCTTGATTGGAACTATCTATTTCGTTTGTTTTTATCTCTTGTTGTCGCATGCATCGACGTACGAAATGTCTGGGTTACCGTTCTGGGAAAATAATTCAACTTTGTGGCTTTCTTCATCAGAGCAATGTGTTTTTGCTCGATGTATCAGACTTTTGACAGTACTCCGCTTGTGAGAGATTGGACTGTTGCTCTGATAATGTAGAATTATTTCCGCATACGTTTGTTTGCGATAAACGGACCTGTGTAGTGTTCCGTCAGTCTCAGGCTGTACGAGAACATCTAGAAATGGGAGTGTTTATCGTCAACTTCTTTTTCGAGCGTGAATTTACTTCTCGGAATGGCTGAATTGATTGTGCTGTGAAGCATTTCTAGTTTATCCTTTTTAGCGACGACAAATGTGTCGTCCACATCATATCGCACCCACAAATTAGGAGTTAACTAATGGACGAGCTACTGATTCCAATTTCTGTATTGTCACCTCGGCAAGAAAGCCAGATATATATGTGATCCCGTTGGTGCACTGGCAGTTAAGAGGCGAGACCACTTGTCTCAAATGGCCATGCACACTCTTGATACTGGACGCACTTTCGCATAGGACAAAACTTGCATTGAAAAACCTCAAAACTGACGAAACCATTGTCATTCTCCCCGTAGACAAAGGAGGCTTAACTGCGATCTTGAACAAATCAGACTACAATGAGAAGATGTTGTCACTCTTAGAAGATAGTTCAACGTATAAGCCTCTATCCACGGACCCTACGAAAGGGCAGAATTCATCGATTGACAAAGTGCTGAAGCGCCTCACGGGAACGAAAAAACTGCCAGGAGATATTGCAAAATCTCTGAGACAATCCGAACCAACCATCGCCAAGATCTACGGATTGCCCAAAGTTCACAAACCTGAGGTACCACTGCGACCGATAGTATCATTAATCGGTGCACCCAATTACAAAATTTCTAAGTGGCTATTCCACCAACTTCATCCACTTACGAGAGATTGTGCCACTTCCATTCAGAACTCCATGGAGTTTCTAGAGAAATTGAGAGACATCACAATTTCCGCGGATGAGATAATGGTCTCCTTTGACGTGGTTTCTTTGTTCACTTCCATACCATTAGATTTCGCAAGGCAATGCACAGATGAACTCCTAAAGTCCTATGACACGGATATTCCCGCATCTGCCTTACTTGAACTTATGGACCTTTGTTTAGAAACCAATTTTTCGTTCGATCACCAATATTATCAACAACTAAAAGGTGCTCCAATGGGATCACCCATATCTGGCTTTCTTGCCGAGGTGACAATGCAGAAATTGGAATCGGTGGCTCTTCCATTAGTTAACCCTAAGTTATGGGTACGATATGTAGACGACACGTTTGTCGTCGTTAAAACGGATCAACTAGAAATACTCCACGACACAATCAATTCAACCGCTCCGGGAATTAAATTCACGTTGGAAAAAGAACTTGACAATAAACTCGCATTTCTAGATGTTCTCGTACAGCGTAAGACTGACGGAACATTACACACCTCCGTTTACCGCAAAGACACATATGCGGAAATAATTCTAAACTATGAGAGCAACAGTCCAATCTCTCACAAGCGGAGTACTGTCAAAAGTCTAATACATCGAGCAAAAACACATTGCTCTGATGAAGAAAGCTACAAAGTTGAACTAAACTACCTATTTGAATTATTTTCCCAGAACGGATACCCGAGAGATTTCGTACGTCGATGCATGAAACAACAAGAGATAAAAACAAAGGAACTAGATAGTTCCAATCAAGCGCCCAAAGCAAACACTTGGCGAATCCTTCCTTACATCAGGAATGTGTCTGAACTTGTTGAAAGACACTTGAGGAAACACCAGATAAAAGTGGCGCACAAGCCGACGACTACTTTACGCACCCAGCTTGTACACCCTAAGGATAGGGTTGGCTATCTCGATAAAAAAGAAGTCGTCTATAAGATCCCATGTGATACCTGTGATGCCGTATATTGTGGCCAAACGGGAAAATTTGCCTCTACACGCATCCACGAGCATCAACTTGCAGTTAAGAGGCGAGACCACTTGTCTCAAATGGCCATGCACACCCTTGATACTGGGCGCACTTTCGCATAGGACAAAACTTGCATCGTCAGAGTTTGCCCATCTAAAAAAGGCCGAGAGCGACCTCAGCACCCACGTCGGCACACACCAGGCTGCCTGGAGCGGAGTGCTGGGCCCCCATTGGCTCCAGCGAATAATGGCCTGCTCCTCCTACGAACCTGGGCAGAACATCGGTTCATGCCTCCCGTTGCGAGAGAAGGCCACCTGAATGCACCCACGTTTGCGACACTGACACCTGCTGAACTGTGTCCTCGTCCAGAGGCGGGACGTGCTGGAGACAAAGGCGAGCCCCGGGTGGCAACGAGAGAACCGACCATCGCCTCATTATTTCCAAGATGAAGACTCGCGCACAGTCCCGCGGGAGACCTCAAGGTAGGCGACCCTCAGGAAAACTGAATATTACTCTGTTGTCCTGGACTGCTCACCATGTCCAAATTCAACAATGAGCTAGCTCAACGGCTAGCCAGCCTTCCAGTCGCCGCCGCCGCCGCCGACGGGAACGCCTCCGTGGGGAACCGATGGTGTCAACTGCTGGACACGGCCCAGGCGACAGCCCTGGCTGTCCTAAATCGCGCACGTCGCCAAGATAAGGACCGATTCGAAGACAATTTCGTCGCCATCAGCAGTCTGTTTGCCGAGAACTGCCTGAACAAAGCCTGGTGACAACAAAGCAGCCTCCTACCGTAGTCGCCGCCTTGTGCAACAGCGGCTGTGGGAGATTCTGGAGGCTTGGACGGCTTGCAAGACCGAGAATGTCCACGGTTACGCGGATCGCAACGAATGGAAGAATTTCTTCTCCGTGACCCGCCAACCAAAGCAACTGCTTCTCTTCTAAGCGCCGACGGAAATACCCTAATCACAGAGAAGGCAACAATTCTACAGGAATGGGCCGAGCACTTCAAAGGCATTCTCATCCGCCCCTCCACCACCTCCGACGCCGTCATCGCCCGTCTGCTTCAAGCGGTGACCAACACCGACCTCGACCTCTTGCCCTCTCTCTACGAAACCGTCAAGGCCGCGCAGCAGCTTTCCAGCGGGAAAGCGTCCGCATTGAACGCAATGCCTGCTGAAATCCACAGGCACGGTGATCTCCAACTCACGGATTATCTGACGGTGCTCTACCTGGAGATGCGAAGCCAAAGACAGCTCCCGGAAGATTTTAAGGACGCCGCAATCGCTCATCTGCATAAGCGTAGAGATAATCGCCAGCTCTGCGACAACCACCGAGGCATCTCTCTGCAAAACATTGCCAGGAGGATTTTCGCTTGCATTTTTCTCAACCGTCTCAAAAAGCATATGGAACAGGGTTTCCTGCCGAAAAGTCAGTGCGGCCTCCGTCGTCATCGCTGGAACACCGACATGATCATCGTCGCTTGCTAACTGCAAGAGAAGTGCCGGGAAATGAGGATCCGCCCCTATCCTACTTTAGTGGATCTGCCGCAAGCCTTCGACACGGTGAATCGCTGTCCCGAGCAATTCACTCAGATGGTACGTCAGCTCCACGATGGCATGACGGCGCGCGTAACGGGCAATGGCACCGTCTCAGACGCATTCACAGTGACCAACGGAGCGAAGCAGGGTTGCGTCCTCGCGCCAACGCTCTTCAATCTCATGTTCTCACTCATGCTAATAGACGTCTACCGTGGAGAACGTCCCGGGATCCGCGTCGCCTACAGGACGGACGGCCACCTCCTCGACCATCGGCGGATGCGCTTCCAGTCGGGTGTATCCACAACTACAGTATATAAACTTCTTTTTGCCGACGACTGCGCCATCAACACCACCTCAGAAGGGGACATTCAAAGCAGCACGGATCTCTTCGCCGTCGCCGTCGCCTGTGATAACTTCGGCCTGGTCATCAACACCGAGAAGACGGTGGTTATGTACCAACCGCCACCCGACGCTCCATAACACGCATCCCAAAGCAACGTAAGCGGCGCCCAACTTCGCCTATCTGGACAGTACCCTCTCTCACAATACAAAAATGGACAATAAACTGGCCCGAGGGATTTCTAAGGCCAGTCAAGCCTTCGGCCGCCTGAAAAACACAGTCTGCAGTCAACATGGTCTCCACCGCAGCATCAAACTGAAGATGTACAAAACAGTCATCCTACCGACTCTGCTGTATGGAGCGGAGACCTGGACGGCGTACAAGAGGTGGTAGGGCCGGATCTCGGGCACGGACGTGTTGGGATGAACTGGAATCCACGGCATGTGCGTTGTGCTGAGACAATTGCAAATGCGCTGGAGCAGTTAGTTTGTGCGGATGAATGACGAGCGGCTTTCCAAACGGCTCTTTTGTGCAGTTGTCACCACGGTTTCTCACCGACAATGAGGTCAAGTCCAAAGCTGCCCTGAAGCGCCTGCGAATTAACCCCGCCAACTGGGGAGACCTCATCCGGAGCCGAGCGAAGAGAGCCGCAGTAAACTTCGAAGCCCACCGCATCGCCGCCGCCAAAGCCAAATGCGAGGCTCAACTGTCCCCCCCCCTCCCACCCCCAACTCGCAACGCCAACGCTTAACCGGGCCCGACCTGCCTACAATTTCGGAGGACGTTCCGGGCACCAATCAGACTTACTGAACATCTTTGAACGCACAGTAGCGCCCAGACGACACTACTCGATGCCACCGTCCATCTCGGCCTTGACACCACGTCGACAATCAACACTGACCGCTCTCTAAAACCCCCACTGCCACCCTTCTCCACTGCCTCAACATCCGCGGCGGCAGCTCCTGTGCACAACCCTGACGCTGCACAACCACCGCCAACACCAGCAATGTGGACTCGGTCCAAACCTGTCCCGCATTGCGACTGCACCTTAACCTCACGCATCGGCTTGGTCGGTCACTTGCGAATCCATCGCGCGGAGAGTGGCGACCCAGTGTCTGGAGTACCCGCATACACCAGACGCATTCGACTCAATTGCCCACACTGCTAACGCATGGTCACATGCGCATTCACGGAAACCTGCAGTAGACAACCGCCGGATACAGCACATCGTCACATCTTCCCCCACCAGCACCCAAATCCCACAGCATGCCCCATCGCCAGCATCTAATTGCCACTTCCAACGCGCTTGGAGCTATCCAAGGTGTGCTAAAAGCCGTGACTCAGAGGACTGCCAACTGACGGGATAACTTGGACCTCGCAGTCGGCCCAGTGTTGTGTGTTTGTGTGGAGCGACCGGCTGGTGGTCTAAAAGCCAGGACGCAATGGTCCCTTCTTAGTGTGCCTTCATGGCAAGGTCACTGCGCAGATATGTACATCTTGTTCGTACTTCTCGAGGTAACTGAGACGAGTTCCCACCTTCTCAGTTTGACACGATATCGATAGAAGGTAAACACCCCTCTAAAGCCTTGTTGCATGGTAGTTAGCGTTGATTTTGGTCAATTAGTCGGATGACAGAACTTAATGTGGGTACATTTCTGCATGCCATTTTAAGATACTTTTTGTATTGTCTGGTTTCCGCTAATGCCTAAGTTATCGAACATGGCTACAACGTACAGAAAAAAGTGAGCGGTTCCGTTTGCAGAAGGTAAATTGTCATGATTATTAAGAAAAAGGAAAAACTCTTAAACGAACTTTTTCAAAGTACGTTGACATCAGTCAGAGAACTACCTTACTGCGGCGTTTTTTAAAGATAAAACTTATTACAGAAAGTTTGTACGTTGATCTAGGGCGTATTCATTGCAGAATTTCGTTGTGGATGTTCATGTTTATATGGATATACAAATATGACTCAGATGGTCATTTACATTACAAGGAATGTCTAAGAACTCACTAATTTCGAATATACCTTCAAGGAATACCTTAACGTGAAGAGTTCGATAAACACATCGCACTGAAAATCATGGATTACCCGAGCGAATTTCAAGGATAATCCGAAACTAGCCCAAGAAAAAAACTAATGCAATTTGACGGAAGGAAAGTTTTGATAATATCAATAGTGGTGAAAATGCGATTTCCGGGTGGCATATCAAAAGAAGAAGAGGTGTTCACCGGGAGGGGTTTATTGGAGGTCCGACGTTTCGAGTAGTTGATTCGTTCGCCCACCGTCAGAGACTGGAAAGTCCTGCGCACAGCTCCCCTTATATGGCGAACTTTGTTCACTGCGTGACCCCCCCCCCCAATGCCGCCTGTGTGGCTGCATCCAACAGGCATGTCACCGTGAGTTGAATCGCCCCCCCGTCGGCCGCGGAGATGACTGACGGCCCCCCGTTAAGGCTCCTAGAGTCAGATAGAGGGGGGGGGGGGTTGACAGAGCAGTCGGTGGACTGCAGGCTCCTTGCACATGTCTTGCTGTATGGGTTGACGAATCAACTACTCGAAACGTCGGACCTCCAATAAACCCCTCCCGGTGAACGCCTACGCCTCTTTTGATTCCGCTAATATACACACAAAACAGTATGCGTACGAATGCACCAGCCACAATAATAGAATAATAATAATATAATATAAAAAAGTTGTTACTAGTAACTGGCCGCCAGCAGGGAACCAGATGTCGAGGAGCTGCCAGCACATACCAGGCTGCGATTATTTTCTGGCATAGTACACGCTGGGCCACACGGCTTGGGCCGTCAACCCTCAAGGTACCGCCGGATAAAGGCAAGAGTGAAAAGAACGAAGTTCAGATCAGTAAAATCTCCTCTAGACAGTGATAGGATTAGGAGCTGCAGGTGGTGAAAAATGCATACAAACCTCATCTCTCTGAACTGCTCGCTGATAGTAATCGAGACATCGCAGAAGCTCGTCGTTCATGTCCGTCAAGGCAGCAACCTTCGTCTCATCCTCCACAGTGCTGCCGGAAGGATTCCCACCCAGACATTCATTGATAAGTGCCAGGACTTGCCTTTGCATACCCTGAACACGCTCGGCAGCAACCTGAGTGCACAAAAAAAACAGTTTGTTGACCTTCCTCTTCCTCAAAGGCAAACGTTTATGGCAATGCGTTTTGTGCAGTGTAAAGACCAACGTCTCCGTCATAGGGAAGCTGACGAAAGCGCAGCACATACCCGGAGTTCTCCCATCTGGGCTGCACCATCCGCCTGAGCCGAAGACAAGCTCCTGTCTTGTTTAAGTGTCTCGAACAGCTGTAGAGCCTCCCTCGCCTCCGACAGTGTCCGTGCAACATCCTTCGTCCCTTCCAAGTGGGTTCTGGAAGCACTCGTCGCCGGAGTAGTTTCTGCTGGTACTGCTGCTGTTGGTGTTGTTGCCCCCAAGGTCTGCGGTGGCGTCTTCTGAGTCTATGAACGGAAAAATGAGGCTTCAGCAGCATAGGAGACGTCAGAAACGCGAAACCGCAGAGCATGCCATAGACCAAACACATGAGGAACAACAATAACAACGTTTTCAAACTCCACTGTTGGCTGACGGTTCGAGATAGAACCTAGTTGTGGGCAATCAATAGATGGTGAAGCTGTCAGACGTACTCATCAATGGTCTTGCGAATTCAAATATATTTTATAGAAACCACGAACACAAATATGCTTTCTATCAGTCGTTTGATAGAAAACCACGTCATCTTTATATTTAATACTTGAAGTAGGAGTAGTAGAAAAAATTTATTAAAAAAGTTTTCTAATTGCCGAATAAATTGGAGCCTGATCATTCGTTGCATTAGCGCTTAATGATTTTAGTCTACAAGTTGCATGCGTTCCGCGTAAAGAAAATCACATATTTCTTTATGCCATTAAAAAGATAAGGGTCCAAAAAATTTTGCAATGGATGCGGACTATGTTGTACATTTCATGAGGAGCTCTGGTAAACGGCAAGGTACGATTCTATGTGAACAGACATCGAGAGGTCTCAGAAAATCTCATAATTAAAAACTTTTTTAAAACATAATTATACTCCTTTCTTGAGTATAAAATATAAACAAGACGTGATTCTCTATTAACAGACCGAAAGAAGGCATATTTTTGTTTGTGGTTTCTATAACATATATTTGAATTTGCAAGACCATCGAAAATCAATGGGAAAAGTGCATGCTAATTAAGTAGTCATTTTTACCAAGCACGGTTTCTACAGGAGATAAAAAAGCAGTGTATTCGAAAGCCGACATCCTGCCGAGTCCGAAATGTTATAAGAGTATGCCTTAAGATAATCAGTATTACAAGCGCGAGCAAGTAACCCTTCCTAATCGAAAACGCATTTCACAATTTCAGCCAAAATTTCATGAGATCGGTCACTCACTGTAAGTCGGGTTGTAAAATTAATCGTCGTGCAGCATGAGTTGCATAATGATTCAGGCACCTCGGGATTCCGGCTTTCGAAAGAATTTCTTTTCGACTGCACGTAGAAACTACACTCTTTAAAAAATGACGACTTACGTAGCATGCATTTTTCTCATTTATTTTCGATGCTCTTAGAATTCCAGTTATATTTCATATAAAAAAACATGCAATAAACTATTTATTGTTTGCTCATTCGGTAGAAAGTTACGTCTTCGTTCAATTTTATACTCGAACGAAGGGTACAATTTGGTTTTAAAAATTTCTAATCGTGGCGGTTTTTAATACCGTGAAATGGCCGTTTATAAATCGTCATCGCTCTGCAATTACCAATATGGCTCGTAAAGTTAACAACATGGCTCAAATCCACTGCTGAATTTTATAAACCCTTTACGGTGTCCACTTAATACCGTAGAGAAACGCATGGCTTTCCGTACGCGGGAACTATATGGTTTGTAGTTTAAAAACCTGAATGCGTGTGCACCGGCGGGTCGGGTTCAAAATTAGTCAGGAATTGGAAACGTTTATGAAAACCGAATTATTCCCATCTTTCAAGTGCAGATTTCGTAGATACTGTTAGCACTGACGTTTCCTTTATCGTGTTTATTGCGAGAAAGCAGCCGTTTTTTGTCCGCAACTTGTAACAGCTTTTTTCCGCGGCAAATGCCATCATTTTAGTATCAGTGGTCGTCAAGGCTTTCCTATGTACCTTGGTCTGATTTGTATGCAGTCTCTCGTCCATTTTTTTCATCCAACCAGGATAATTATTGGCAAGAGTAGGGGTTACGCCCGGGGTCACTTATTTCGGGGATCAACTGTGCTGAGGAAAAGGACTAACATCCAAGAACCTTGTGGTATCAATAATTCTGGCCTTCCATACCGTCACCAATGAAAAGGGGAAACTATTTTTACCACTTAATGATAGTAATAAATAAATCTAGTGTCCATTTGAAGGCATTGTTAAAAGGGCATTGCATCGTTGTATTTTTACTCCGCTGAATACCCTTAGGATTCTTGGCAAACCTAACACAGCAGCCACTAAGAGGTCTTTTCATTCCTTTCGCTGGCATCTACAAATAGATATCGCCAGTCATTTACTTTTACCACAATTGCTCCCCGAAGTAGGTGACCCCGGACGTAAACCCTACCCTTACCCAATTATTATTTACGGCCTTCCAATTTTCTGTAGACCAAAGACCAAGGGTCTAGCAAGAGGCTTTAACCACCTCAACAGTTTATGTAACTCATCGAAATATGCCTGCGCGACCTTTTCAAACTATACATGTCGACC